ACTTCCTGGAGGCGAACTTCGAGGTCACCGAGTCCGAGAGCATAGGCCCAGGTTACCCTGGAGAGCTGAACTACTTGAAGCGCATAGTGGGCTACACGAGTGAGTTGCCCGAGACCAGGATGCCAGGCTTCTACTGGAGTGCTGATCCGAAGCACGTGGAGGAGCTCATCCGCTGGGGCCACAAGTCGGGCTCCAAGGCTGCGCCTACCCCTGGAACAAAGGCTACGGGGGCAGGCATGAGGAATGCCCTGGACCCACTGCCCGTGGCCGAGGCCAAGGCGACCTCTTCAGCGGCAGGGCTGAGCCTGTATGTCTCGAGTGACAGGCCTGATGCTATGTTCAGCTCCAAGACGATTATGCAGCACGTCAGCAAGCCGAACGTCCTGATGAACGCACGTCTGCACCGGCTGTGCAGGTACTACGAGGGCGCTCCGAGGCTGCTGTGGTGCTATGAGCTCCAGGACTTACCAGAGGTTCTCCGAGTGGACGCGGATGCAGACTGGGCGTCTACGACTAGCCTCTTCAGGACTTCGACCTCTGGGGGAGTTGTTCGTTTCGGAGGCCACACGGTCGAGGCGTTCGCGGTCAGCCAGGCAACTCAAGCGTTGTCGTCAGGAGAGTCGGAGTTCTACGCCATCGGGAGTGGAGCTGCAAGAGGTTTGCAGGCGAAGCACTTCCTTGGAGAGGTGGGCGTCACAGTGCGCCTTGTCGTGGCCAGTGACAGTGCTGCAGGCAGAGGGATCTGCCAGCGCCACGGTGTGGGCAAGGTGCGCCACCTCGAGTTACGGTATCTCTGGCTACAGGACCGTGTACGGTTGCGACAGCTGGAGTTGATCAAAGAAGCGACCACGGAGATGGTTGCGGACATCCTCACGAAGTATGTGGAAGCAGAGACCCTGTTTAAGCACATGGCGACCATGAACCTGCGGCTCGTGCCGCTCGGAGCAGTGGTGGTGAGCGCGCTGCTACCGACGGTGCGCGGCCAGGAGACGGTGGAGGGCGCCAAAGGCGCGCCCTGGCTACTGATTGTGATGGCTTTGAGCATAGCGTTGCTGTCTTTTCTAGTAGGCTGTTGTGCTGGAGCCAGAGCGGGCTCCACTGCGGTTTGCTATGAGCGTCCCGAGACGCTGAGTGATGACAGCGCAGCTCCTGAGCAGACCGCAAGCGACGGAGATGCGAGAGTGCAGCTAGTTCTTTCAAGGCTGACAGTGCCTGACCTACGAGCCATTGCTCGTGCGAACAAGATTTGCCTTGGGGTGGGCTATGTAAGGAAGCAGCGCCTGATCGAGATGATTATCTGTGCTGGCGCGAGCCCCACCTGCGAGCAGGCAGAGCGCCTAGAGAGCGTTTGTGCCGTTCTTTCCAAGGCTGGTTTGAGTTGTTCTGTGCAGCCACGCCTGCTGTTCACTAAGCAGGGGCTGGAGAGTCATTTGGTGCTGTTAGAGACGGCTTGCACGCCGTTGCGGAAGATCTCGGATTGATCACCGAGGTTGGAAGCAGTGATGCAGTTTTCGGCCCTTCACCGCTCCATGCCTGAGGAGAGGTGTTCGGATATGTAACAATTCAGAGGGGTACCCCAGCAGGTATTCCCAGGGCCAGGCTGAGGACAGAGAATGAGATCTTGCATCGTCGCCATATTTTGGCTCAAGAAATATTTCCCCTCCCATCCATCACGAGAGTTTGGGGGAGGAGGATTGCTTTGCACTGCGTCGTGGCCCCCGTGCCAGGCCACGGAGACTTGTTTGGATAGAAGGCAATCAAAGCTTTTAGCGTGGATGTTCCGGCTGCGCTGTAAGCCGAACGAGACACCACAGCAGTTTTGCCTGCGCAGAAACCGCGCGGTCAAACAGCTGGCGGCCACGAAGTGGTCGAAGTTTCATATGTACTCGTGTTTGTCCTGGCACTCACACCTCCAGAGGCACCCAGACAGCTGGGCAGCCAGAGCGGCCAGCGAGCAGGACCACGACTGGGTCAGCTCACAAAGGCGCGTCTGGGTGTCGGCATCCAGCAGGTCTTCTAAAACTGTTTCCAGAAAAGGCCGGGGCAAGGTCCACCGCTGGGACCAATCGGGCTGGACTTCCCGGTTTAATCCGGCGGGGACGCGGGATCCCAAAATCATCTGGAATTTAGCGGACGAACTTTCGCGCAGTCTTGGCTGCAAAGGCAGACTTGGAGAGGCTTGCCCCTGAGAGCTTGTGACACCGGGGATTTTCCGCCTCCAACGGGCGTGTCATCATCATCATCATCCTCCTCCTCCTCCTCCTCCTCCTCTCCTCCTCCTCCTCCTCCTCCTCCTCCTCCTCCTCCTCCTCCTCCTCGGGTCGCCTACGGCCCCGGTGGAAACCGTGCACACGAGGGGAGGCGCGGTGAGACCGCCCTGGGCTACTCTTCAGTCAGGCTCGTCCCTCTACAGAAGGAGCATCCAAAATGGTCGAAAGCATAGTGCGCGAGCCATTGTTCGACGATTTGTTCGACCATGTCTGCATATTATTAGGGGGTATCTTTCATTCTTCCTCCACAATCTGCCTGTAGGGGGACGCGCCCGACTTGAGGCTACTCGGGGGGCCCAATCAATGAGGCCGCCCATGGGACTGTTCGGGGGGCCTGATGAGGCCAGCGGGGGCTGCCCTGAGATCCGACGTCGCGAAGCGATGGAAACATCGCAAAAAATCACGGCCAGAGCCCCAGTGGCAAAACATCACGGCCAGAGCCCCAGAGGACCCCATCTTTCCGCGTCGTTTGTCGAGCCGGATCGACCTGTGAGGGTCCCGGGGCCCGAAGTTGGGCGCCAGCGCCCGTCGTGAAGAAAAGGGCCACAGGGTTCTCCTATCGGCTCCGTCCGCCCCGAGGCGGGGGGACGGGGGTGGGCCCGGAGGGAGGCTCGCCGACGAGTCCGGGGCTCGAGGATCCAGGCCCGCTCTTGACGCCTTGAGCCTCTGAGCCGCCTCGAGGGGGGGGGGGAGCGTGCGAGCCAGGAGCGCGTTTTTTCTTTACTGCTTGGAGCATAGTTGGGCATAAAGGGCATTATAGCCCCTGGCCCCAACTCCCCCCCCCCTCCTATAATGTCACGCCCCTCCCCCCCCCCAGGACGCTCCAGACACTGCCGCCGTGCGCACGGCGGGGGGGAGGCGTTACATTATACCCCCCCGTGGCTCCCCCCCTATAACGCCCAATATCGCCGAAAAGAAAGACACGCGCTCCCGAGGGTCAAGGCTCCAGGATCGAGGCTCGCGCCGCTTTCGGCTTCCCAGGGCTGCCCTCGCGGCCACGGCCGGGGAGTGCCTGGAGTGAACGGTGAAGCAGTGCCACGGGTGCCGTGAGGATGTCCTGCCAGAGGGGGGCTCCATGTTTTGCCTCCTGTGGTGGCGGCAGGCGTCTGGTGACCAGAGTCTGGTGCCGACTACATGTTGTTGAAGGGCCTTCCGTCCCGTCCTCGGCGGGACGGGCCATAGGGGCATGCCGACTGCAGAATTGATTTACCCCAGAACCATTGGTTCGCCGAATCTGCGGACAAAAGAACTCGTAGCGTTCTCGGAGATCCGACAACCCTTCACGTACAACTCGCAGGTCCGACGGAAATAAGATCAGTTGTGGAGTAAATCAGTTTAGTAGTCGATCCCCTTCTCGAATATTGGAGCCACGGTGCCCAGACAAAAATGTCCACACCGATTGCGGCAAGGCCATGCAGCATGATAATAAGCACAACTGCGCAATGCCCCTGCTTCGCACCCCTCCCCCCAAACCCAAAGTTGAAGGTTCCACATTTTCTCCCTGGCCTTTGGCCTACCTCCCAAGCCCGTCAACTCCGGATTTGGGGAAAGTGGCTATTAATTTTAGTCCGACGTGTTTTGATGACTAAGGTCTTGGCGAGGCACGTGTGGACAGTTTTATCGGAAACCTAAACATATACATTACCAGTGGCGGGCTGTCTTTCAATCCCAGGACTTTTTGAGTGTCGGGACGACGTCGGGGTGGTGTGGTGTATACATTGTTGTTTTTACGCATCTCGGGGGAACAGCGTAAATTTGTTTCACCAGGATGCCGTATACACCAGGATTGATTTTCCTGTGCAAGTGTCAACGCAGGGCCGGGGGAAAGCATCGGTATATATATATATATATATATATATATATGTATATATATATAGAGAGAGAGAGAGAGAAACAAAAAAAAGAGTTAGTTCCCAGACATGCGACGTCCTGATTTTTTGTTCATACGGGTTCCCCAGAAGTCCCGATTCTTTACCCAGTACCGGTGTTTCATCCTGAGTCGTTTCTTGGTGCTCCCGAGGCATGGCGACGGCCCCCCGAGGCCGAAAATGGATCCAGAACCTCCCGTCTGGATTTACCCCAGCGTCGAGACGGCCCAGATTTTTTCATGAACGTCGATTCTGGAGGTCTCGATCCATTGCCCCTGGACCGGTGTTCCATCCCGAGTCGCTCCACGACGGCCCCGAGGCCCGGGAAGGGCCCCCAGAGGCCCGAAATGGCGCAAAACCTCCCGACGCGAATTTTGTCATGACTCGGGGGGGCGTGGTCGACTCCACGTAAGTCACCACCCACCAAACCACCCCAACCCAACCCGAAGGCCTCAATTTGCCCTCCATTTCCAGTGGGGGGGGGTCCGGGAACATCGAAAAAACACATGGAACCCATACCCCCCCCAACCCGAAATTCGGGTCTTCGGGTTGGGTTGGGGTGGCCTGGTAGGTAGTCAGTAAGAGTGATTCCTCGCCGGAGTGACCCTTGGTGCGGGCCCAGTGGGGCCCCGCGCTCGCCGATGTCGTTCTCCTCGTGGCTCGATGGCCACCACCCCCCAAACCACCCCAACCCAACCCGAGGGCTCAGATTTACCCTCGATTTCCAGTGGGGGGGGGGTCGGGAAACATCGACAAAAACACATGTGGAACCCCTACCCCCCCAACCCGAAATTCGGTCTGCGAGTTGGGTTGTGGTGGCCTGGTAGGTAGTCAGATGGGGGGCCTCCGGGGCCGCAGCGAGGACTATCCCAGCATTGGGACGGCCCAGCTGCTGCTGCTGGCCTGGGAGCCGCCGCCCGCGCTGCGGGGCGTGCGCCTGGCCGACCTCGAGCGGCGGTGGCAGGACACGCCGCCCCCGCTCGCGGGCGGCGCCCCTCCGGCGGGGAGGGGCGTCCGGCCCCCCTACCGCTGCTCGGGGGAGCGTGCCCTGAAGCCGGGCCTGTCCCCCCGTACAGGGGGATTTTCGACGAGAATAAAAAAAACATACCCCCAAAATAATCCAAAAAATAGTCCAAAGATAGTCTGGGGACTATTTTCTGAGTATGCCTTGACCTTTTTGGGGTACTTTTGAGGTATCTTTTATTTTTCGTTGAGAATCCCCCTGTAGGGGGACACGCCCGACATAACCCTGAAGTCGGGCGTGTCCCTCTACTCCAAATCCCTTATTCATCGACCCCCCTCCTAAAAGACCGGACCCTCTTCCAAATGCGACCTGATGTTCCGGACCCCCCTCTTCGACGGGCGCCTTGATAAACCGGGCCCCCTAAGCTCCAATCCAAAGAAAGCGCCCTAACAAACCAGACCCCCCCCGTTACAAGAAGGCGCCTTAGAAAGCCAGACCCGGGGGACGATTAATAAGGGATTTGGAGTAATGGAGGAAGCGTGCCCAGACAGAATGGCGTCGCACAGCAATCAGCCACGCGCAGGGGGGGGGAGGGGAAAGGCTTCTTAGAAGCACCCCAGGCCTTCTCTATGAATGTAAGGCTGGCGCCCTCAAAGAAGAAGCCTCCTTGTTGAGAAGTCCTCCCCCCTCCCTCCACCCCCTGGTGCGTGCCGCCCTAACAAACAAATCAGGCCTCCTCCTCCTCCGAGACTCACTTCTAAAGTCATCCCCTGCGAGCGGGTAGCGTGCCGAGACATGGTCGCGGCGCAAAAACATCAGGACGGAAGGTTTTTGGCCAGTTTCAGCCCTGGGGGGCCTTCGCCGGGCCTCGGGACCGTCCAGAAAAGACCCAGGAGGAAAAATCAGCCCCGGGGAAGGGGTCGGGACTTCCAGGGGCCCCGTAAATCGGGACGTCGCATGTCTGGGTAAGACTCGGGTGCTCCAGGACTCGGGTTAGCCGACGCTTTTTGACGAGCGCGTCCTGGATTCCGACGCTTCTGTATTCTTGGGATGTTTGCAGCGGGAGTTCTTGTCAAATGTCAGACTGAGTCTCTTCATTTTCATGATAGCCCCGTCTGGCCAACCCGAGTCCCGAAGAAGAAAAACGCCATGAATAGAAACGTTTAGCTCTTAGCTCGGAGCGCCAAAATATTATGTTAATCGGCCGTTGATTGTGTCATCGTCTACACATGAGGGAGAAGGAAGGCCTCGGCTAGACGCAAGAGTGACCCTTCGCCGGAGTGGCCCTTGGTGCGGGCACATTCCCATCCCTCCTCGGGTCATGAGAAAATCACAACGGCTGGGTTTTCGTTGTTTTTGAGCTCTGGGGGCTCCCACCCAGCCTCGGGACCGTCAACAAAACGATGGATGAAAAATTGTTCCCGGGGAATGGGTTAAGACCTTTGGAGGCCGACGTTTCAGTCGGCCTGGATTAGTAGGTCGACCCTGCTAAGTCAAGGGTGGCCTTGTGTCCTGTCTTTGATGAGGCGTGCGTTTTACACTCCTACGGCAAGGTATCCCTCGGAAGGGTCTCGTGTCCTCTCGCGTGTCCTCTCCAATCAAGTCCGACTGCATGAAGACGTCGGGGGGGCTGGGATTGGGGTCCTCCAATCGCCGAATGCGATGCGACAGCAGCGTCTTGCGCGCTTGCGTTTGGCCCCCCCGCGGCCCCAAACAAAACCGCGGGCCAAGGGCCACTCTTGCCCAGGGTCACTCCTTGCGTGCAGCCGAGGGGGGCTTCTGACTTGAGGCGGGCATGGCGCGTGGTGGTCAGGCAGCTGGTTGTACACGGACGCCCCGAGATCCCGGCGTCGCAATTTTGTCCACACCCGGCGTTTTCGCCCAAGCGTTTGGCCCAGGGGCCCTCACAGATCGATCCGGCTCGACAACCGACGCGCGGGAAGATGGGGATCCGGGGCTCTGGCCGTGCCTGTTCCCGATGTTTTGCAGTCTTCCGCAACGTCGGATCTCAGGGCAGCCCACCCCCCAAGACCCCCGACGTCATGATCTGTTCATTGCGTCGACGCCTGGAGGTCTCGACCCATTCCCCGGGACCGGTCTTTCCTCCTGGGTCGTTTTGGGACGGTCCCGGGGCCCGGCGAGGGCTCCCAGAGGCCGAAATTAGCGAAAAACCTCCAGTCGTGATTTGTTCATTACCCGAAGGGGTCTGGGCCCGGTGGTCCCGGCTGGCCTCAACAGGCCCCCCGCGTCGGGTATTGCTAGAAGTGCCCCTGGCCCAAGGTGCCCCCAGCTTTCCGCTTCGTTTTTGAGCCCGTGGGGCCCTCTGGGCCTCGTGAGGGGTGCCCGGGAGGCCGTCCGGGCCACCCCGAGAATCCTGGGAGTACCTTGGGCCAGGAGCACTTCTAGCAACACCCGACCGGGCAGTCCCGGCTGGCCTCCACAGACCCTCCGAGCAGCCCATGGGCGCTCTCAGCTCACCCTGACGCCGCCCCTCCGGAGGCGCTGCGCAGGGGCGCTCCGCCGCGCCCCCAGGAGGGGTGCCGAAGCCGCCCCTTTGGCTTCTCGGGGGGGCCTTTATGGCCCCCGAGCAGTCCCAGCTGGCCTCCGCGGGCCCCCGACGCCCCGGCGCCGCCTCTCCGGCGGCGCCACCCTGGGGCACTCCGCAGCGCCCCCCAGGGGGGGGGGGGGCTGAATCCGCCCTTTTTCGGAGGTGGATAGGCCTCCTGCCCTGACGCGTCGATGAAGGAATTGGCCGCTGTCGGTTCGCGAGGGGGCGTCGCGGCCGTCAGTTTTTGCGGGTCCAGGTCCGTGGGTTTCGGCCCCAGGCCCTGTTCACGAAAGGGAGGTTTATTGAAGGGAGGTTCGTCCACCGACGACTTTTGGCTTCTCGGGGGGGCCCCGTTGGGGCCCGCTGGGGCTGCTCGGGGGGCCGGGCGGAGGACGGCGGAGACCACCCGGGGGGAGGCTTCGCGTGCGCAGCCCGGGGTCTCACCACGAAGCGACGACGACGACGACGCCGACGCCGCCAACGACGACGAGGACAACGACGAGTACGACGACGACGAGGACGACGACGACGACGAGGACGAGGACGACGACGACGACGACGACGACGCCGCCGCCGCCGCCGCCGCCGCCGCCGACGACGACGACGACGACGACGACGACGACGACGACGACGACGACGACGCGCGCGCGCGCGCCTCTGCGCGGTGCCCGCAGCACGGCGCATCTGAGCTGGGGCGGCCCTGGAGGGCGGAACGCCCAAGGAAGCTCCTGAGAGTACGTGCAACGGGCGAGCAGCCTGGCGCAAGGATGTGCAGGCGCCGGCCTCGTCTGAGACTCGGGCGGGAGCTTTGGCTCAGCGCTTTTTCGCTCCGCCGGCCGGGTCTGTCTGGCCCGCCGCGCTGCGGCGAGGCACGCTACCGGAGGGACGCCAACGCCTAGGCCAGGAAGGCCTGTACACCAGTCCAGGGCCCACGATAGGCCTGGCCAGGGCTGGTGGTGGTGTATTGTTTGGAACTCGCCTGCGCTATCCGCTTCCCCGTCCGCCGGCGTCCACGTCCCGAGCCTTTTTCCGAGCCTCCCGCCCCGCGGAGCGGAGCGACGCGCTATCCGCTCGCAGGGCATCCTGTGTAGTCAGGGCCTTCCGCCGCGGCACGCTGAGCACGAGTTGCTGACCGCATGTGCCGACCGACCTGGTATAGACAGGACGCTGAAATGGGGGCCACCTTTGATGGGCCTGCTTTCTGCCGCCACCACCACCACCATATGTTGGATGGGGAAGGAGGAGGACGAGGAGGAGGACGAGGAGGAGGAGGAGGAGGAGGAGGAGGTGGAGGAGGAGTTGGAGGAGGAGGAGGAGGAGGAGGAGGAGGAGGAGGACCCTCCAACTTGTAGTGGTGTTGGTGGAAAACAGACCCATCAACCTTGGGCTCAGGAGGGGTTCTGGTTTCCGGGCCTTTCCCCAACAGGCACAGGTCGGAGAACCTCTTCGTGGCCGAGCCTCGCCAGAACAGGCCTCGTCGTTCCTTCAGCAGCGATCGTCGGGCGTCTAGGGTCTAGGGAGGAGGAGGGTGAGGACGAGGAGGAGGAGGAAGAGGAGGAGGGGGATGAGGAGGAGGAGGAGGAGGATCAGGAGGAGGAGGAGGAGGACCACTGCATGGGGGCATATCCACTGAAGGGAGTGCCCGTTGGGGGAACAACCGTGTGAACATCCAGAAGCGTGCCAAGACACAGTTCTCAAGACTTCAACGCCACAGACTAGCCTGACTGCTACGTCCTGGCGACCCTGAATCGTGCCGGAACATCATTTCAGGGATTTCATCACCGCGAGTCAACGTAATTGTTGCGCCCTGGCAGTCCTGAATCGCTCCAAAACATTATTTCTGGTACGCGAACCATGCCAACGTTGGGTAAGAATGTGCGCGGCGCTAAGGCGAGAGCCACATTTCGAACAGTAACCACCCTCAATCCGTGAAGCTCTTGCAGCGTTGTGTAACGAATGTGCGCGGCGGTAAGAAGGCGAGGGCCACCTTTTGAAATCCACCCGCCCTCAATCCGTAAAGCTTGTTGCACATTGTTCAAGCGAATGCGCGGCGCGAAGGCAATAGCCACTTTTTGAAAACTGCCCGCCCTCGACTTGTGAAGCTCTGGCAAATGCTTTAATCGAGTGCGCGGCGCGAAGGCGATAGCCACATCTTGACAACCACCCGCCCTCACTCCGTGAATCTCTTGTAATTGTTACAACGGCTGTGCGCGGCGCTGGGGCGAGAGCCACAGCTTGAACAACGCCCGCCGTTAACCCGTGAAACTCTTTGTCACATTCGAAAACGAGTGTGCGCGACGCTACGGCGAGAGCCGCCTTTTGAAAGCGACCCGCCCTCAATCCGTAAAGCTCTTCCAATGGTTAAGAACAAATGTGGGCGGCGCTGCGGCGATAGCCTATTTGGGGAGCGACCCGCCCCATATTTGTGAAGCCCTTTTACGTTTTTAACATCTATGTCATACTTGGAAGTCTCAGGCGAAACGCCCTACCCGCCCTTTCGACCAGCCTCGGGGTGAGACAGGGAGGAGTTATATATAAGGAAAAGGAATGGAGGAGGAGGGGAGGAGGAGGAGGAAGAGGAGGAGGAAGAGGGGGAGGAGGAGGAGGAGGAGGAGGAGGAGGAGGAGGAGGAGGAGGAGGAGGAGGAGGAGGAGGAGGGGGAGTGAGCTGGAAGGTCGTCTTCGTCGTGGATCGTCGGCTTCGCAGGTGAGTGTGCCCTAATGGCGAGCAGCATGGGGACACAGGAGAGCAGAGGATAGCCGGACTCCAGAGGCGAAGGACAGCCCACAACGACCGAGGGAACATAGGAGAGCAGCGACCGAACGAATGCGCTCAGCCGCCGCTTCCAGGAGAGCAGGACTGCACAGAGCGCGAGGGGAGCGCGCAGGTAGGATGTGCCTGGACTGGTGGCTTCGGTCGCCCTGTATCAGCGGGTCATGGCTTAGGGGGCCCTGGCTCCGGGCTTGAGCCAGCCAGGGGTTACGCCAGCGTTCGGTCGCGTAGGTCGCCCCAGATGGCACAAAAGATGACCCACGGACAGCCCCCCCTCCCCCAGGTACAGTCGGCCCTGATTGGTAACTAGGTCGACCGCGCCAAACCGAGAGTACCCTTGTGGCCTGTCTGCCCCGACCTATGGAACCCGCATGTCCTTTGGCGTTCTGGGGCCACGTTGCCGTCGCAAGGGTCTCGTGCCCTCTCGAGGGTCCTGTCCAGTCAACTCCGACTCCAGTCCTGGCCTCAACGGCCCTCCGAGCAGTTCCGGCTGGCCTCCACAGGCCCCCCCGAGCAGTCCGGGCCGGTCTCAGCATCTCGGCCAGAGTGCCCCGAGGGGCGCCGCCGGAGGTGCCGCGCAGGGCGTTCGAGACCGCCCCAGACTGGTGGGGAAGGCCGTTGAGCTCAGTCGGGGCTGCTCGGGGGCCTGTTGTGGGCAGCCGGCGCTGCTGGGAGGGGCCTCGCCAGGCCCAGAGCAGAGCGAGCACGGCTGCTCGAGTGGGAGGCAGGTAGGGCAGAGCTCCCTCTGCACTCGGCGTCACCCAAGGCACTTGTACCGTGTGTGCGTCGCCCCCCCCATGGGCGATGCGCGCACCGAGAAGTCATACAGTTTATGCGCCGTGGCGGGCGCTTTCTGGCCACACCGCTCGAGAAACGATACACCACAACATTGGTGTACTGTATGTTCGGGTCGGACGCGCGCCTCCAAGGAGGACGTACAATGCTAGCATGTCCCTGTGCGTCCCATGCGCCCCGCGCCTCTGCAGCCTGCGCGCAGGAGTACAACAAGTCCTCGGCTGGCCACGAGACGCTGAAGCGCGTGGTCTCGCTGCGGTGCTTCGCAGGAGGCGGCCAGGGGCGCGGAGAGGGCGGGGGACTGACCCGCAGGGGGAAGTTTCGACCCCGAAGCGCCCTCCCCTCGCCGCTCGGCGCCTGGGTGCCCCGCCCAGCCCCGGGTCGTCCTGCTTCGCCATCGGGGGCCTAGCGCCGCCATATCGGGCGATGTTCGGCGGCCACGTGCGAGCCCTACCCCACCACCACATGCGAGCCCTACCCCACCACCACCCCTTCTGTCTCTGCCTCCTTTTTGTTCTCGTCCTCCTCCTCCTCCTCCGCCTCTGCCCCACCCCCCCTCAGACAAATGCAACAATGAGGTTTCACTTGAGTCGCAAAGTATTCCTCATCTGTAGTGCCACCCGTGTGCTGCTGTTCCCTGCTTTTGAAAAAATGATTTCCAAGGGGAGAGCTGGGGTCCACCTCGCTCGGGAGGTTCCGAACGAGGTGAACCCCGCCTCCCCCCTTAGAGAAGTCGTGGGGTGGCAGGGCAGCTAGGGTTCGCATGTGGCCTCTCAGATGTACCGTCTGAGCCCGGGGGGCGGGCGTCAAGGTGCGGATGCCGCAACACCCCGGACACATTACTGCCGGGGCGCTTGCTGCTTGCGACCCTGCGGCCCGCAGCACCCGGGGACAGCTGCCGGGGCGCGTGTTGCGCACGACTCATGAGGCGACTCCAGCCGTGGTGACGAGGGCAAGGCAGGAGGCCCCACAAGGCGCAAGCCAGGGTTGGGCACAGTTGGGTCTGATGACTGATGCAAAGTCAAGCGGTGCGGACCCGCTCACCAGTCAGCACAAACCAAAACACTAAGTCAAGTTTTCGGTCTCTCACAGATGTCCATCAAGCCTGCTGCATGGTTTGTTGCTGACCGGTGGGCGCGCTCTCGTAGAGGGCATGTCGCGATCTGAGACGACCCCATAGGCACGACAACCAGTCAACACGAGGCCGTTGCCACTCCCGTTGGCTTCTGTGTCTTCCCACTGAGCTTTCTACCTTGCCTGTGCTGGCCGGTCTTTGCGCGGTCGAAGGACACGCTGAGGGGCTTCCCTGCGGGAGTGACATTTATCCGTAAGGGCTTCGCCCCATGCCGCCAGCCCCCTGTCGCGGATAATGGGAGATGCATAAGCTAAATCATGAGGTCTGGGCGCCGCCCGTATGTTTTTGGACCCTGACCCGCCGATTTGCGTGAGGGGTGCCACCGGATTTCAGAAATGTGGCAAATCCTTTGCTTGTGTTTTTGGATTTGACCCTGCCGATCTGCGTGAGGGGTGCCACCGAATTTCAGAAATGTTGCAAATCCCGTCTACGTTTTTGACCCTGATCCCGCCGACCTGCGTGAGGGATGCCACTGAAGTTCAAACATGTGGCAAATCCCTTGTGTTTTTGGACCCTGACCCTGCGGATCTGCGTGAGGGGGGTAAATTTTTACCCCCCCTGAAATTCTGAGAACCCTCCCAGGGCGTGGTAGTTCTTCTGGTTTGGGCTCCCCCCCCTCGCGCGTTAATCAACAAGGAACAGTAAGCAGCAAGAAGCAGAACTGTAACAGTGGAAACTGGAAGCTGCAACTGGTACAGGGAGCAGCACATTCCCTGCCTACAGCCTGATGGCCCCGCAAGGGGGCCGGCGGATATTGACAAGGTCGGGAACTTTCGGATGGTCGCCCGCCTGTTGCTCGTCCAGATCTTCGCAGGAGGAGGAGGAGGAAGAGGAGGGGGTGGGAGGAGGAGGAGGAGGAAGGAGGAGGAGGAGGGGAGGCGGGGGAGGGAGGAGGAGGAGGGAGGAGGAGGGCGGCGGAAGAGGAGGGAGGAGGAGGGAGGGGGAGGAGAAGGATGGTTAACGTCCGGATAGCGTGTCGCTCCGCCTGGTCTGATTGCTTGGCCGCCACCGCGTTCCGGCGCGACACGCTTTTCACGGCCCAGCCCCCGAACGTCAACGCCCTGAGCGCTTCCGATCCTCCCGCCCCTCCTCCTCCGCTGCCTTCTCCTCCTGCGCCTCCTCCTTCTTCTCCGTTTCCTCCTCCTCCTCCTCCTCCTCCTCCTCCATCCTCCCCCTCCATCCTCCATCCTCCTCCTCCATCCTCCATCCTCCTCCTCCTCCTCCTCCTCCTCCTCCTCCTCCTCCTCCTCCTCCGGCTCCCCCCCGCCCCGCGGAGCGGAGCGACACGCTACCCGCTCGCAGGGCATAGCGTGTCTCTGGGGCCGCCGTGGCGAAGCTCTGAGCAGACGCTCCCGACGGTAGAACATGCCTTTGCTGTCCGGCTCAGGCAAGCAGCTGGCCGCCCCGAGCACCAGCAGGGGCCGCGCGACCGCCTGCGGCGACAAGGAGGACAAGCGCCTCACGCGCTTCGAGCTCCTGAGGCAGGGCGACGGACGCGTGTGCCTGAGGTCCGAGCTGCCCTGCGCTGAGTCCAGACCCGGAGGGAGCTCCGTCGGGGGCACCATACGTTCAGGAGTTTTCTGGCTCCGCGTGTCGCTCCGCCGGAGCTGGCCCACCGCGCGCTTCGGCACGACGCGCGAGCCACTTTCCCATGCACTCCCGGGCGTTCAGGTCTCGGGCCTGTTCCGAGAGCCTCCCGCCCACCGGAGCGACACCCAGACATGCGACGCCTCGCTGTTGTTCAGAAGTCCCGACCCTTTCCCCGGGACCGGTTTTTCATCCCGAGTCGTTTATTGACGGTCCCGAGGCCTGGCGAGGGCCCCCCGAGTCCGAAATTTGGCAAAAACTTAGCGTCTCGGTTTTTTTTCGACGCGATCTTGTCTGGGCACGCTACCCGCTCGCAGGGGATACGTCTTGGCTGTGTTTGGCGCCCTGTTTCAAGCAGGTGGGGCCCCCCCCGCCACAGGTCGCACTGTTGCAAGCAGTCGCGCGAAGCAAAGGTCCGGAGCCAGACCCCTCCCCTCCCACCGATCCCCCCCCTTCCGCCCAATGTCGAGACGCCGAATACGAAAGCGTTCACACATCAAGACTCAAGGTCGTAAAAAACGCCCCCACCTCGGTTTATGAGGCGCTGTGCGCTGAACCTCCTGTGGGCTGACAGGGTAAACCCTGCGTATCGCGCGTGCCGCGAGGCGTTCTGGCGGCTCTCTGGCCTGTGGGAGCTCCCAGGAGGTTTGCTGACCACGCGCTTGCAACCCAGGGCAGGGGCGTTTTTCCATTCCTCAAAAGACGTCTCGTGTCTGTGGAGCACACCTCGCGAGGCCCAGAGGGCTCCGGGGTGGCGCGCTCATCCGAGGGCACCTTTGGGCTGCGGGCGCCACTCCTCCGGCAACCTCTCCGAGAGCCTGCTCCTCCCAGAGGTCCGAGGTCTTGTCGTTTCCAAATGCGGAGCCCCCGCACGGGCCGTCCCGTGGCCCAGGGTCGGCTCTTCAGCGCATCGCAGCGCATCGCCAGCGGCTCGCAAGCTGTCTGAACTACCACGGGGCGCCTGCACACCTCGTGGCAAGCATGTGGGCACCTGCTGCGGAAAGCTGTGGCCGAAACGTGTGGTTGCATCAGGGTTAGATCCATGAGGTGCTGCTCTGGTCGAGTCGGCTGTTAACCCTGTGGCGGTTTGTGGTTTTGATTCATCCGCTGACTCTCTGGGATCTTGGCGTCGGGAGGCTGGAGGCGAGGCGGGTCAAAGGCGGGGGATTTGGGAAGGGGGGAGGGGCGGTTGGGTCTAGACGCTTCGCGCAAGCCCACCAGTCCATCCAGAAACGATGCCCAGACAATTTGTCCTGATCAGGGATGTGGGGGAGCATGCAGTGGAATGAAGGGCTGGGCAAGACGTCATACCCCACGAGGGGGGAGAATGGAGGAGGAATCGGAGGAGCAGGAGGAGGAGTAGAGAGAGGTGGCGGGGGAGGAGGGATAAGGAGGGAGGAGGAATATGCAGATGCGGAAGAGGATGAGGATGGTGATAATGGTGATGAGGAGGAGGAGGAGGAGGAGGAGGAGGAGGAGGAGGAGGAGGAGGGCGAGCAGAAAGGCCATGGATGTCTTCAGAGAGCTTCTTGGGGTCCTCTTGGGGCGTCTTGAAGGTTTCGTGGCAGTCCCGGGGCCTCTTGGGGCGTCTTGGGTGCCTCTGGAGAGCCTCTTGGTGGTCTTTCTGGACCCCCTGGGCGCCTTGTGGGGCCGTCATGGGGCACCCTTGGGAGCCTCGGGGGCCATCTTGGGGCCAGTTCGGAGGTGATCGACCAAAGGGCAGGGCGTACTAAATTAGGCCCTCCCCCCATGAGGCCAACATGTTGCAACAATCTTAGTGACATCGATGATTTGGCCTTCTCGCCGAGGCCTTTTGGAGCAGCAGAGGCCGTACTAAATGAGCACCCCTCCAGGAGCCCGAAATGTGGCCCAAATCTTCGTGAAATCAATGGTTTTGGCTTCCTCGCCGAGGCCATCTTGGAGGCTCTAACGCCTCGCGAACCCTCCCCCCAGACTCAGGGGGAGGCGGTAGGGGAAGGAGTCAAGACACCCTTCCCGCTGGCAAGCTGTCTCGCTCACTTCCACCCGCCCTCCCAACGCATACGGCCAAGTTGCCACATATAGCGCGCACGGCCCCCCTCGAGGGACAACAAAACACTCAAACGTGTGCACGCTATACGCCGCCTCTCGGGCGTAATTCCATTCCGGTAGAAATGCCACAACAATCGGCAGTCGTTCCGTTCGCGCACTCTATCTTTTGCTTCGTTTCGGAGCGCACGTGCAATATATACGTCGATTGGGCCCGACCTTGGAGGTGCAATCTATACGAGTACTATACGGCTATACCCCCCCTCTTCCGAGCGACATGCTCGTATGGCGCCCCTTGGGGGGTGAACCCTGCCGAGGGGCTGATGCCGAAATCGGCGCAGGCGCTCTCGGACGGCCCGTCTGCCTGCGACCACTCGTGGAATCTGCATGGCCCCGACCCCAGGGAAAGCGGGAGGGGCAGGGGACACGCTACACGGGCCCCGGCTCCAGAAGGGGGGACAGGACAGCTCAGGGCTCCAAGAGGTGACGTCCAGAGGGCCCCCTAGAGTTGTAAGACAGCTTGGGATGGCTCCAGGAGCAGCCCAGAACGGCCCAGGAGGGCCCCGAGCGCCACAAAGACAGCCCAACAGGGCTTCCAGAGAGGTCCAAGACAGCACAAGGGACTGCTGAGCCAGATCGACATTCTGGAAACACAGGTACACTCTAAGCGTTGATTTTATTAGGTTCAAGTCTCGAACGTGCGCTCAAAACCTTTTCTATCACGTCGAACGTGCCCCTACGTACCTAGGAGGAGGAGGAGGAGGAGGAGAAGGAGGAGGAGGAGGAGGACGAGGAGGAGGACGAGGAGCAGGAGAAGGAGGAAGAGGAGGAGGGGCAGGAAGAGGAGGAGGACGAGGAAGAGGAGGAGGAGGGGGAGGGGGAGGAGGAGGGGGGAGGGGAGGAGGAAGAAGAGGAGGAGGAGGGAGAGGAGGAGTAGGAAGAGGAGTCAGAGAAGGAAGAGGAGGAGTAGGAGCAGGAGGAGGAGGCAGAAGTGGCTCGGGCCGGCGGAGGCCAAAATGCCGAAATCGGCATTCTGAAAACGCACGTGCAATACATATATATATATATATATATATGTGTGTATATATATATATGTATATACGTGGGTTGACGTGCAATCTATACATTTTTTTAGCCAGCCCAAGTGCACGCTAAAAGCCCATAGAAACGCGTATATATTGCACGCACTTTTCGACTTACATTCTTAACGACCCCCGTTTCGATTGCACTTCAGAGTCCGCGTGTGCACGCTACGTGTGGCAAGTTGACCGTCAGTAGCATCCGGGCCTCAGCATGTTCAGCGGCCGTCTATGGATGGGCAGCTACTGGGAACCAAAACGGACCCCATGTGCGCGATGGGGCGAGATGCGCCACGCGTGCAAGGAGCTCCAGGTGCGCCAGGCATCCCTGGGGCCCAAGCGTGCCAGGCACGCCTCGTATCCAAGATGCGCCACGTGCTCCACGTGCGCCATGCGTGCAGCATGGTCCAGCCGCGCCAGGTGCGCCACGTCCAGGGCACGTGCAGAGTGTACCAGGTGCGCCCGCGCACGTGACAGCCCACATCGGGAAACATGTCGGCCCCCACCATCTTTGTCGAATACCTATGGACAATCGCAGTGGGGATGCCATCATGATGTCTCATGGTGTCTGGTCTGGTGGGCCTGCACCCAGCAGGCAATGTGCCACCACCCGCTACCGTCCTTGCCAAACACTAACAGAATGATCGCGGGGTGGCCGCGAATGATCCAGATTTATCCGCGAAGTGCATGTTGTTTCGTTTTTGTTGACAGGGATGGTGGCTTTGCGCGAAGCAGGGAATATGAGGACCCCCCCGCCGTCCTGGCCAACAAAACAATACAAAGTGTTCGCAGGGCCCACGAGATTGACCCAAGATTTTACCCAAAAGTGTGCATCGTATTGATTTGTTGGCAGAGATTACGGGGGGGGGTCTCATTGGTCTTGGTTGGCTGCCGGTCGCCTGGGGGACGGGTGTTTATTCTTAGGGAACAGTGATAAGCCCCTCCCCGAAGGGGAAGAAGGGGCTTGGAAGAAAAAAAGCCCTAAACCACTCACGCCCTGAAGGGCTGGTGGGGTTCCGTTGGCTCTCTGGGCACCTTGGGCCAGGGACCACCTCCGGCCACCTCCGAGAGTGCCCACGCTTGCTACGGTCCAAGCCGCAAGCCCCTACGGGGCGTTAGCAAACGGGGCGGTAGCTGAGGGGCCTCTTCAAGCGAGCACGGGATGATAGGGTATTTACCTTGCACTAGTGCGTGATAAGCCGGGACGATAAAAAACGTCGATGCATCATCATAATTCTGCGCGGGGGGCGGCTATCTCGCACTGGCGCGCGGCAAATCAATGTTTTGAAAACGCCATGGAAAATTACCAGCCCGTCTACGAGCGCTCTGTTTGCACGCGGGCTGGGGCGGTCGGTCAGGGGCGAGGCCCGGGCAGCTACGGCAGGCTCGCGGCGGCGCCGTCGGGTCAACGGCGCGCGGCGGAGCACCCCCCTTGGGAGCCCGTTGCGGCGGGGGGCCCCCGGGGGGCCCCACGGAGAGCCGCCCGCGGCGAGGAACGCGCACGGAGCACACGAGGCTTTCCAGACAGGGCAGCGCCGGAGGTGCACGATGCCACACGCTCGAGCAGTGGCACGCTGCGCGTGCACGGCCTCCTCCTCCTCCTCCTCCTCCTCCTCCTCCTCCTCCTCGTCTTCCTCCTCCTTCGGAGTGCTGCTCTGGGCAAGGTGGACGAGCCCACAGGCAGACAAGATATGCATTCGCGAGGTATTCTCGGATTGCTACTCCCAGGCAAACAGGATGGGCATCACGGAGTGCTCGCGCTGTCACCGCAATGGGGGGTATTTTTGGAGTGCCGCCGGCAGGTCTAGCACTGC